GTTGTGTTCGGTTCTGCGTGTCTGTTTGCGCAGGCCGGTCAGAGAGCTGTTGCATCACCTCAAAGCGGCTCCCTACTGACACCACCACACACAAGAACCCCCCTACCCTGGGCCCCACGACTCCCCCCCCCGGGTCCCGTGACACCAGCCCCGCCCCTGGCCCCGCCCCTGGCCCCGCCCAGCTCTTGAGTCAGCCCCGCCCATCCAGCTGCTTCTTGAGAGAAGCCAGGGTGTGATGGCTTCAGCAACATGACCTGGCGGCTCTCTTCACACTCAGTCCACGGCCTTTTAGGTGAAGAAGGGCCACTCGTTCCCAGATTGAAATGCACTTGTACGTGATATATTGGAGCTCTCCTCACTAATGTTGACACCCGTACGCAGGATGCCATGTTTGCCCAGCGAGCCGTTGTCATACAGCTGCGGCGTGTTTGTACTGCGACTTCCCTCTGCGGCGAGGCCTGTGGGTCAATACGCGCTGAGAGACATTTGAGAGGGCCGTTTTAAAAGGCTGATTAAATCCCGTTTCTATGTGAACAAGCGCTTAGCTGAGCTTATTAACTCTGGGAAGGCGCCATCGGGAGCCAGGCTGAGAGGAGGGCTGTGGTGCCTAGGCGGCCGGGTGTGTCTGCCCACGGCAAGGGACGAGCCAGAAACGAGACAAGAGCCCGGTGTGCGGAGTAAGGAAGCAGGAGAGGGGATGCTCATGTGTTTTTCCCAGTTTCTGTGCTTTCCCTCCATCTCTGATTCTACTTTCCGACGTTTTCGGTAACAGAGAGGACCCACGAGCAGATCCACTCATTCCATGGGCGTGTCTGCTTGTGCAAATTCGTAGCGGGCCGCTGTCTTCAGTCCAAAAATGACCACAACCATGTTTGTCTGGACGCGTTAGCGGGTCTCTTTTTGGTTCCCCTCGCACTCTACAGTTGGAATCGTTCCTTTCTGCAATCGATGTGATGTCCACTGTGGAGGGGGAGAACAAGCATCCTTCTGGTATATTTTAAATGACATCGATCTGCGTTCAAGGCCCTCACCACCCAAGATCCAGACGCCCTGCGATAATAGCGCTCGGGCGAAACCGAACGTCACGGGCGTTGCTAGCCACTCGTGCGGCGTCTGTAGTCCGTCGTGTTTTCCAATGCGCTGCCTGTGAACACGTTGGGCCCTCTTGCACACAGCCTGCCAGTTCCTGTTACTGCCACCCCCCGCCAGCCCCCACTCCCTGGATTCTGTGCCTTTTTCAAAACCACGACGCCGATTAATTGCTCTCTGCTCTCTGCTCGCTGTACACCGGCGCCTGTTTCCTGTCGGCAGATCAGCGCTTGGAATAACATCACCTTGAGCCAGGCACAACCTGCACCCCCCCCGTCAGCGCGCACTCATCCACAGAGGAGAGGGAGAGGAGGAGTGGGGCGCGGGGCCCCCGCCGCAGGAGCAGGAGCGAGGTGAGCTTGCCGCGCTGGCGAGGGCCTGCGTTAGCACAGGAGCCAGCGGCACCCCAGCTAATGGAAGACCGTCTGGTTGAGATCTGGGTGAGAGACCCCCACGGCGACAGCCCCGGGCCGCTCCGCAGGAACGAGACACAGCGAGGAAGGCAGAGATGGAAAGAGGGACAGCTAGGGACGGGAAAGCAATAAAACGAATATAAAACAAACGAAACCCGCTCGCCCAAAACAAGGCTCTTCGAGGAATGCTCTTCACATTACCTTAGAAATCTCAGTGGCAGGCAGCAGAAGGAGCCCCTGTCGGCACTGGTTTATCTACTGGGTTATGCTTTTTCAGGTGTGGCCTTAAAGGGTCTGTTCTGGGCCCGGTGCCTGGAGGAGAAGGTCGGAAAGGCAAGGCAGAGGCCCAGCAGAAGGAAGACGTGTTGGAGTGTGCTCTGTTTGGTGCCCAGAGTTAAGTCTCTGAGGTTGCTGAACATCGGGGGGGCGGGATGAAGTGACTCTCTTCTTTCTTGGAAAAGGCTGTCCATACTCAAGATAGGGGTTCCATGGAGCACATGTTGCATACAAGTACTAACACACAGAACTAACAGATCACATCCATCTTACAATTTGCACAGGGGAGACCCCGTGGGCGCTGCAGGTCCATGTGTGAGCTGATATCCCCAGCTCCGCCTCTACGAATTCTCAAGACTGGGCTTTTGCTTCTGTGACATCTGCATGGATAAAAAAGGTCTTGGCTGTGGTTCTCTGAAAGCTCTTTTGCAGCCGGACAGAATCATTACCGGCTCAATGAGGAGGCAGGTTTGGGGAGACCATGTCTCTACCACGTGTTTGTGTCAGAGACCAG